TCTTCCACCATAGCCAAGAAAAAGGAAATCAAGGATGCTGTTGTTGCAAAGGGGGTAAATATGCTGACAAAAATGAGATCACCAGTACTCGAAGATGTTGAGAAGTTATTATTGGTGTTGATAAACTAGAAGCAATTAGCAGGAGATAGTCTTATGATGTCGCTTATTTGTGAAAAGGCTAGGCAGTTGCATGATGATTTGGTAAAGAAATTGCCTGCAGCTAGTGGTGATGTGAGTGAATTTAAGGCCAGCAAAGGCTGGTTTGAGAGATTTAAGAAGCGTACTGGCATACACAGTGTGGTAAGGCATGGTGAGGCTGCCAGTTCTGACAACAAAGCAGCTGAAAAATATGTGCAGGAATTCAAGGAGTACATAGAGACTGATGGACTGAAACCTGAACAAGTGTTGAATTGTGACGAAACAGGCCTCTTTTGGAAGAAAATGCCAAAGAGGACCTACATTACTCAGGAAGAAAAGGCACTGCCAGGACACAAGCCTATGAAAGACAGGCTGACGCTAATGTTCTGTGCTAATGCTAGTGGGGATTTCTAAGTGAAGCTGTTACTAGTGTACCATTCTGAAAATCCCAGTGTTCAAGAAAAACAATGTCATGAAGAATAAATTGTGTGTGTTTTGGAGATCTAATAGTAAGGCATGGGTCACAAGGGACATTTTCGTTGAGTGGTTCAATGAAGTGTTTGGCCCTAGTGTGAAGAATTACCTCCTGGAAAAGAAATTGGATCTCAAGTGCCTCCTAGTACTGGACAATGCACCTGCTCATCCTCCAAACTTGGATGACCTAATTCTGAACGAGTTTGGGTTCATCACAGTAAAGTTCTTGCCCCCGAATACCACTCCTCTCCTCCAGCCCATGGACCAGCAAGTCATTTCAAACTTTAAAAAACTCTACACCAAAGCAATGTTTGAAAGGTGCTTTAATGTGACCTCAGACACTCACTTGACCCTAAGAGATTTTTGGAAAGAACACTTCAGTATTCTCCATTGCGTAAGCCTTATAGGTAAGGCTTGGGAGGGAGTGACTACCAGGACTTTGAACTCTGCTTGGAGAAAATTGTGGCCAGATTGTGTCCACAAGAGGGATTTTGAAGGGTTTGAGGCAGCCCATGATGAGCCTATGTCAGTTGTGAACTCTATTGTCGCACTGGGGAGTTCCATGGGGTTGGATGTGAGTTTGGAGGATGTGGAAGAGTTGGTGGAGGACCACAACGAAGAGCTAACCACTGAGGAGCTGCAAGAGCTTCAGCAGGAAGAGCAACAGATCGCAGCTCAGAATCTTGCTGCAGAGGAGGAGGAAGAGAGATGGAAGAAGGTTCTTTCTTCAGAAATTAAGGAGATTTTTGAAATGTGGGGTAGGATGGAAAGATTTATGGAGAAACATCACCCAAAGAAGGATGTTGCAAGCCATATCGGCAACTTGCACAGTGACAGAGCCTTGGCCCATTTTAGGGAAGTTTTAAAGAGACGCCAGAAACAGAGCTCTTTGGACAGTTTTTTTGCGAGACAGGACTCGAGTGACTCTCAAGGTGGTCCTAGTGGCATTAAGAAACAGAAGAGAAGTAACCCCAGAAAAACAATTGGTACCCGAGGTGTTGATGGAAGGGGATTCCCCTTCCAAACAGTAAATAATCCATTCTGTCTCCTTCTCCAGTCTTCCATACACAAAGAAGAATTGCCAATAAAGGTAAGTGTTATTCTGTTAATGTTTAATTCATCATGTGCCACTGTATTGTTTATGTACTACATCTATATTTCATGTAAAAAAAATTTGTTTTAATATTTCTGGGTGTCAGGAATGGATTAATTGCATTTACATTATTTCTTATGGGGAAAATTGATTCGAAAATCGTCTATTTCGGTAATAGTCCCACTTCCAGGAACGGATTATGGATGATTATTGAGGGACATCTGTACTTTCAAATATTGAAAAAACGTAGATCTACGTTTGGACAGTTTAAGGGTTAAGCATAATGATTAAAGTATAATCTTGCATGGTACCCAAAGTTTAAATTAAAATTCTTCACAAGTCTGTAATGTTCAGATGTGGCATTTTAAAACTAAATGCTACTAAAACAAACTTAGTTACTGAGGCACAAAATGCAATATAGAAGTTTTGGAAATTTGTGAAGCCACTAGCATTGCACCTAGCAGTGACAGGAATGGTGTAGGAAGTTAGATTCTTCACTTAACCCTTTAACTTTCATTGAAATAATTACGGAATTTGGATGTACTTTTAGTATGTTATAGATAGGCCATTTTTAAGTCATTTTACTTCTACGAATTTTTCCTTAACTTTTGTAGCTTTTTTACATGATTTTTTTAAAATCCAACGAGTCCTCATTCTACTGAAGAATGATTGGTAACTATTTAGTATATGGTAGTAAAGAACCACTAAATGGTGTGTATGGTAATTAATTTCTTTCAGATTTAAAGCAGAATACAGTAGAGCCCAGCTTTGTGGCGTTTTGCCTTACAGCGTTCCGCTAACACGGGGATTTCAAATTATGACCAAAATTTGCTATACGGCAAGCGGTCTTTCAAATGCAGTGCGCCCCACTCAGTTTGTTTACATTCTCTGTGAGCACATGTCTATTATGTCCAGAACTTTTCCAAAATTTCAAGTGTTTTAAAGTTATTGCATATTTTATTTGTACTCTGATAATTATACTTGTGTACCTGTACCTAAATATATTTACGCACTGTGCTGGCATGCAGGTACACATTAAAATCACTAAGAGTGTGTCTACTCTTAACACCTTAATAATACATGTAATCTCTTGGGTGCATTAAATGTCGTATATTATGCTAATATAGACATTTCTGTTAATCCATCTATGAAAATTTTTTTTAAATTATATAATAAACACACTACGTAACATATAAGCCTGATACATACACCCACAGTATAAAAATTTACATAAATGTAATACACCTACCATCCGACTTATGACCGAGTTCGGTTCCGAGAAACCGGTCATAAGTCGAAATGGACATAAGTCGAACTTCACTACTGAATATCAATATCACATTTTTGCAATGACTTTATTTTATTGTTTTATTATGGTATTTCATGTTTTAATTTACTTATGCTGTTAATACTGTATTTTATACTGTAAGGTTTAGGATAAACACTGTGTACAACACAAATAGTTGTTTATTTCCCAGAAATTTGGCAAAAAAAAACATGGTCGTAAGTCGAGTAGTCGTAAGCCGAGCAGGTCGTAAGTCAGATGGTAGGTGTATTTGTTTACCAAGCGGTTGGAAGAATTAAGTTTTCTCTAGTCAAACGCCAGTAACTTCACTAGAAATTTATTACTTTCATATGCCTTCACTGTCTATAGCTACTCACAACCCTTGTGGGTTTAGCACTTCTTTTTTATTATGATTATAATAATAACTTGTAATAATACGTAATTTGTAAAAATTTGTCAGAACATCATCATTCTTAAAAATTACATGAGAATGAAAGTGTTGGTCTTTATTTATTCTACTGTACCACTGTGGAGACAACTTGTACACAGTGTAAGGTGTTTGTAGGAATGTTTATGTAAGTAATGAGTGTACTGTGTATGAATTTTATCACTCTAGGGAACTTTAAGCATTGTAGTATATTATGTGTAGGTGAGGTGGACAGGATGGCTACCACACCTGACTTCTTACATTAAATACTACTCATCTTTAGCCCTACATTAAGACTACAAATATTTTGAGGTCATTGATGAATGTACTGTGTGTGTATTTTATTTTTTATTGTTTTTTAATGCCTCATTCTATTGCTAACTTAATACATGTTAGTGTAAACTTGTTGTCTGGCATTTATATGCATTTATAAGTGGAAAAAATATGGCGTTCTGCTTTCTGGCAGTAGCCTGGAGCCTAACCTGCAGTAGAAGTGGGGCCCTGCTGTAATTCTCTAAAGTGGCTGTTCTGTGGCTTTGTTTTGCAGATTTGGGCTTAATTTGTTTATTTCTTTAAATATTGTTCCAGTGATGTTAGTGATACATGTAAGAAATTGTATTTCAAGAAAGGGCTTTAGGCAGAAAATCCAGTGAGTACTTTTTGATCAAAATCCTTTAGTTGGTCTTCACTTTAGGGGTTGTACATAGTTTAAAAAAAAAAATTGTCATTGTAGAAACAGAGCAAATTCCTTGTAAAGAATGAATAAAAGCATTTGGCAAATTTAAATTGCAGTACTGTCAGTTTGTAAGGAGCACTGCATTTGGAGCTACTGTAATATATACTATAAAACATTCACCAAATATGGATTAGAAATACAGTTAAGAGTATAGTCTGCATAAACAGAATTGAACAGTTCTTTCATAAATTGAGAAAAATTAAACAATAATTACAGAGTAGTCAATTGCACCCCTGCTGATCACATAGTTGAACTTACACTATTACATTCAGCATGATTTTAATAACACAGTAATTAAAAGGGCTGCACAACACACACTAACAGGCTGGACAGAAGGCATGTGTCACACTGTATATATCTGATGGTAACATGACCTTTTGATATTCCTGACCTAACTGAGCTAGGCTGTCAGGCTTGCTCCTGGCATGGCACTACAAAATATTCTTTCTTTCTTTCAACACACCGGCCGTATCCCACCGAGGCGGGGTGGCCCAAAAGGAAAAACAAAAGTTTCTCCTTTTACATTTAGTAATATATACAGGAGAAGGGGTTACTAGCTCCTTGCTCCCGGCATTTTAGTCGCCTCTTACAACGCGCATGACTTACGGAGGAAGAATTCTGTTCCACTTCCCCATGGAGGACTACAAAATATATGTACAGGTATTATATATGATTATATTCTGATTTTATTTATTTTTTTTTGTGGATTGTATTGTTTCTTTCTCAAAGTAATTTTTGCTTAGTAGCTTTCATTGAACTGCTGCTTCAAAAATATTAGTTGTATTCCTGTATTGTTTATTGTGCTGAGCGTATATCTTTAGGTAAATAGTGACATTCATATTACCAGATCTCCACTGGCTTTGGCTCAGGTACAACCTAGCCCTGAGGTACCAAAGATTGTTGAAGATAGAGAAGGTGTTCGTTCAACTGTGGACCGCATCAAAGTGAAGCTCAATGATACTATCACTACTGCAAAGGACAAAGTTAAAGATAAAGTAGGTGTTGAGACTATAAAAAACAAAATAAAAGAAAAAGTTAAAGACAAAGCAAAAGAAAAGGCAGCCAAAAAATTGGACCCAACGGGTGGGCATATAAAGTCGTAAGTGTGATAATTCTTCCGTTTTGGGTGCTGCAACTTTAAATGCTTTAGAAATGGATAATATTTTTAAATCATTGAAGGGTGCACAAGTTTTCACTGAGCAAACCAGTATGCTTCCATACTTAGCATGTCTTTCATGACAGTGAACTGTTGATGCCTGCTCTTGCTATCTGGTGAAAATATCTGGTAGTACTCTGTATGGTAAAATGGCTTGCTCTTACAAGACTAATATATGATAGCATTACTTGTATTTATATTGCAAATATTGGGACTTTTGGGTTCTGACTACACACTGTAAGTTAATATGCAAAGATATCTTACCGTCCCTCTCAAAGCCGAGAACCTGTCTGGTCAGATTAGCGATATTTATGTTCATTTTATTTTAACTGTAAATATTAAAAAGCTATATATGAAATTAGCTTGAAATTTATTTGATAAAACATGGCGTCCGAAACCATCTGAACATTACTTTCAGCAATTTGTTCTCCAGAATGAAAGTAAACACAGTTACTACTAATTGCTAACAAGAAGGTGGTAGGGCAAGACAAGATAGAATCCTGTACCAGGAGCTAGTGGTTAATAAGTTGTCAAACTAGTTTTGATATTTACAACAGAGTCCTTCAGCACTGAGTTGCCTTTCTGTGGTGACTGGGTTTAAGTGGCCCATGTACCTGACTAAGTAGTGTATTTGCTTACAAATTAATAATTTTTTTATATAATTTGGCTATGAAAAACTTTCTGGTTTGAATTAGTTGATAATTTAACAGCAAGTTAGTTGAAGACACCTTTGTTATTACAGGAATAAAGCTATGTTCATGGTGTTTTGACTTGCATTTATTTTTAAGTTAGTGATTGCAGTGTGCACACAACCTTGTGACTTTCTCCTGCAACCTTCCAATATTTGAATAGTCTAATATTTTTAATTTTTTCTCTTCCTGTTGTTGGTCCCTCAAAATCCTCTAAAATATATCTGGTTTTTCATATCTATTTATACTTCAGACACTGTCACTTTAAATTGCTGAGATGTGATGAACTTGTACATGTGAAGGGGGCCTCTTGAAAAGTGTCACCCTTCTCTCCCTTGGTGCTCATCCATTTTAAAAATTCAAAAATGACCTAAAAAAAAATTTGCTTCCAGGTGATTGAGAATTATGGCCTTGTCCAGATCTCCCATTGCTCTTGCCAGTTGAAGTACTGTTGATGGCTTTTCCACCTGAAGGGGATTGTATACCATTTATTTAACAGTTCAGAGACTTGATGAATGGTTTTGAAAACTGACAAGTTGAAGAATTGAGACACTTATGCAACACATGGGAATCTTTATTGAAGAAACGTTTTGCCACACAGTGGCTTCATCAGTCCAATACAAAGTAGAAATTGGTAAGGAGAGTAGAAGTTTGAGGTAATCAGTCCCTCAACCTGGAATCGATGTGTTCAGTCCATCACTCTTGTCCATCACTTCCTACAAGAGTGATGGACTGAACACATCGATTCCAGGTTGAGGGACTGATTACCTCAAACTTCTACTCTCCTTACCAATTTCTACTTTGTATTGGACTGATGAAGCCACTGTGTGGCAAAACGTTTCTTCAATAAAGATTCCCATGTGTTGCATAAGTGTCTCAATTCTTCAGTTCAGAGATTCTTGCTTCTGACTCGAACAGTCCTTTTGGGTACTATGGTAAATGTTCAATTGAAGCAGTATGTGTATTTTCGATCATACCGATTTCTTTTTCTCTCTATTTTAGTGCAGGTATGCGTGTTAATTTGTTACATTAATTTTGCATTTAGTAACTATTTTTGCAAAAGTGTTTTTCAAACAGTAAATAGGCCTTGGAGATACCTAGATTAATTACTGGGTGTCAAGTGCTTGGCTCAGAAATGTATTTTACACATTCATAACCATGTTCAAGGAAGTAATGACCTGGCATTTAGCAGATAAAATCAGATTTTATGCTACATGAGATGTAGATTGGACATGAGGAATCATTTTAGCCCTTTCAGGGTCCAGAGGCCAAATTTCAAAGGGTGCACCAGTGTCCAAGAATTTTCAAAAGAAAAATTTGTTATTCTTTCTTATGAAATGGTAGAGAATCTTTTTCTGAAGGTAATAAAACATAGTACAAAATTTGATGGAAAATTGACGAAATTATGCTCTCGTGAATTTTGACGTGTCAGCGATATTTATGAATCGGCAATTTTGCCGACTTTGACTCCCATTTTAGGCCAATTACATTATTCCAGTGAACCAAATTCTTAGCTATTTCACTAGTATTACTTCTATTCTATCGATTGAGCACAAGAAATCGCCCAGTCAACTGTTTCAACTACAAAATAAAGTGATCGGAAATTGGTAATTTGGCCAATTTAACACAAAGTTCAAAATATTCCAATTTCAAAATAGGGTCCAGAATAAACAGTGCAGGCATTCCTGGCATTAAACTAACATTTCCTCTGCTCATTAGTTATGTTTTCAGGCTTTACAAATTAATTCCATTTTGATTTTTTATTCACATGATGAATTTTTATTCAAACCAAAAAATAGAAGGTTTACTGTGTTGCAATATTGTAATGATTGTATAAATATCATCTCCAGTATGTTTATTAATCCCATGCTTATAGACGTGTGCAGGATTTTTTTATCGTGCAACATCCAACATTGATGACATTTCCTCTACTTGCACTGTTTCAGCTTTTCAGTTAAACCAACAAATATCTCCATTTCTGAATATTCTTCTATCAATGACCAGAAATCCAAATACATGAACCGAAAATCAAATTTGAAGTTGTAATCGCCAATGCGGTCTCGGTATTTTCCATTAACACTGCGCAGATTGTCATGTGCACCACATACACATCAATTCTGCTCCTCATTAGTTTTCAGCTTTAAATACAGATTCACAATGAATTCAAACCAAAATTCAGCACTGCAAATTGTAACATATATTCACAGTTTTCCGACACACTGCTGAGTTACTTACTCTGCCACAACCAGCAACTGCAGCAGTCCCTCCAACACCATGATTTCTTTTGTTACATTGCTAATTAAATACAGATAAATAATAGAAACATATCAGATGCATATTGAAGTGCTATTGTTCAACAGTAATTACAGGGGTGGTTCATCATGTGTTACTTTGAATACATGCTAAAGAATGAACATCTTCTCGCTGACTGCTAATCCATAACATGTATATCACTAATAATCATGTAATTAAATGCAATTTACATACGATGGAGTGGTTGAACATCGTCAGTGCAGCATTATTTATGCTGGAGTGAATTATTCCTGCCTATCAAACTTTGTCACATAATCACTGTTGTGCTGTACATCTGACTGCTACTATTCAGCGTATTTCTTACACTGCTTATCACTGTCTCTAATCACGCTCTACACTGTCTCTATCACTGTCTCTATCACTGTTCATCATTCATCACTGTCTCTATCACTGGTCTCTATCATGTCTCTATCACTGTCTACTTATCACTGCTCTATCACTGTCTCTATCACTGTCTCTATCACTGTCTCTATCACTGTCTCTATCACTGTCTCTATCACTGTCTCTATCACTGTCTCACATGTCTCTATCACTGTCTCTATCACTGTCTCTATCACTGTCTCTATCACTGTCTCTATCACTGTCTCTATCACTGTCTCTATCACTGTCTCTATCACTGTCTCTATCACTGTCTCTATCACTGTCCTTTCCTATCACTGTCTCTAACTTCTCACACTTCTACACTGTCTCTACCACTGTCTCTACCACTGTCTCTACACTGTCTCTACCACTGTCTCTACCACTGTCTCTACCACTGTCTCTACCACTGTCTCTCCTCCACTGTCTCTACCACTGTCTCTACCACTGTCTCTACCACTGTCTCTACCACTGTCTCTACCTGTCTCTACCACTGTCTCTACCACTGTCCACCATGTCTCTACCACTGTCTCTACCACTGTCTCTACCACTGTCTCTACCACTGTCTCTACCACTGTCTCTACCACTGTCTCTACCACTGTCTCTACCACTGTCTCTACCACTGTCTCTACTCCACCATGTCTCTACCACTGCTCTACCACTGCCCTTACCACTCACTGCTCTACCACTGCCTCTACCACTGCCTCTACCACTGCCTCTACCACTGCCTCTACCACTGCCTCTACCACTGCCTCAACCGCTGAATTATTGTGAAATGTTTGGAAGAGCAGGGAGACTAATGTTCACTCCAGCATAAACAAAGCCACACTGACGATGTGTCAACCACTCCCTCGTATTTATGTACAATTTCCTTCTTCAATTATATCGTATTATTATTTATTATTATTATTATTATTATTATTATTATTATTATTATTGTTATTATTGTTATTATTGTTATTATTGTTATTATTGTTATTATTGTTATTATTGTTATTATTGTTATTATTGTTATTATTGTTATTATTGTTATTATTGTTATTATTGTTATTATTGTTATTATTGTTATTATTGTTATTATTGTTATTATTGTTATTATTGTTATTATTGTTATTATTGTTATTATTGTTATTATTGTTATTATTGTTATTATTGTTATTATTGTTACTATTGTTGTTATTAGCAGTAGCAGAAATGTTTGATTCTTTGCTGTGTTCAAGAGTAAACACATGATGTCACCGTCCAATACCTGTTCAAATAGCCATTCCAATATGCAGTCATGAATGTGTTTACATTATTTATACTGTAGTTTAATAGCAAATAATGAACAAACAAAACACTCGCCACACTGAGTGGTGGGAGGGCTGGCTGCCAGTTGTGGGGGTCGGAGGGAGGGTAGTAGGGACTGGCATTGGTTGAGGAAGTGGTGGAGTCTGTGGTATTTAATAACATACATGTTATTAAAGCATAACATGTATATATTTAGTACAACTTACGACGTTTTCATGTATTTTATGATTGTTCATGGTTCAACAAGTTAAGCAGTATTGTATTATATTTCCCTACAATATATTGGGGCACCAGACATTCACGGTTTTTCAACATTCGCGAGGCTCTTGATCCCCTAACCCTCGCGAATGTTGAGGGACACCTGTATTCTCTCATATCTAGGCCCAAATTTACCACTCGCAGCTTATCAGAGTGAGCTGAGCTCATGGTGTAGATCTACGGTTTGGACCCTGAACATAAAGCCATAGATCTACAGGACGGACCCTGAAAGGGTTAATATTTTTGTTGTAGTTCAGCATACTACAGTATATTTAAATTTCAAAATCATTTTGTGTGAGAGTTAGTTTGTAGCCAATGTTGTGTTTTTTTCTTATTAGGACAATGAATGATGTCTGATCCATAATGGTTAAAGTCTAAGATTGAGAGATTTATTACATGCAAACAGACTGAGATAGACTTGAATGCAGTGCTGTATAAATTTGCTTTAATAAGCTTTTCATTGTTGAAAAATATATATTTGCACCCAGTAACTTTCATTACATAAATGGGTACTGTAAACTCATTTATTTCCATAATAGTTGCCCTCTTTTCTTGCCATAATTATACTAAATTGCATGGTAAATGAAGCTTAATTGCATTGCATGAAGACATGTGGTACATGGCTTGAAAAAACAATGGTAGGTTTCCTTATTAGGATTAATTTTTGCTGTGGAATGTCCAATTGTATAACATTCTGAATAGATATTACAAACTTCTGTTAAAAAAAAACCCATTGGACATGTTAAAAATTTAATGAAAATATGGTATTGTATATGACAAGCATGTAAGGTAGAGAATTACTTAGAATTTGTTTTATTTTCTTAAGAAGATTCTTAATGAAAATGCACTACTCAGCCTTCAAAATCTTATTTTCCAAATTTGAAAGAATTGTATGTACATACAGCACAGTGCAAATAAGAATATAATTCACAAGTGCAACTCTCCAGTAGTGGGTTGAGGATCAAGCCTTCACCAGTCCTAGCTCTAAGTAGCCCACAAAAGTTTAAGGTTTACTATATGGAAGGTTATGAGAGTGGATTTACATTTTAACATTTAAATGTAATTTTTTTACTTTTATTTATTATAAGTTTTAACCTGTGTCCAAAGTGGTTTTCCATTTTAGAACTGTACATTATTGTAGTATAGTATATAATTAATCTCTGTTACAAGAATTACTATATAGTATTTTTAAACACCTCCATTAATACAAATGTCCCTTACTGATTTTTACAACGTTTACATGAATAATATAGTTATACAATTTCTATTCCTTTCAGACTTCCTGTGATTCTTGGGGTAATTGGTGCACTGATATTAGGCTTGGTAGTGATCTGCATTGTTTGCTGCTGCTGTTGTCCATTCTGTCTCCTCCACAAACATCGCAACCAAGGAACAGTTCATCAGCGTAAGTGTTTCTTGATAGAACATAATGCTAGCTTCATCCCATTCATTTACCTTACCTTTACCAAGTTTTGAAAGTTTACTCTTGGAGCCTGACCATGGGCCAGGCTCATCTGTTGCTAGCATGGTCAGTCAGGCTGTTGCTGCTGGAGGCCCACTTCCTCGCATATCCATTATAGCCTGGTTGATCTGGCACCTGGAGTGTTCTTAGAGAGGGTTTCAGGGATTAGTGCCCCTGCGGCCTGGTCTGTGACCAGGCCTCATGGTGGACTAGAGCCTGATCAACCAGGCTATTACTGTTGGCATCACGCAAACTGACGTACGAACCACAGCCCGGCTAGTCAGGTACTGACTGGTGAAGATACTTGTCCAGTTTTCTCTTGATGTCTACACTTGTGCCAACAGTTTTTGTGCTATCATCTGGTAAGATGTTGAATAATCTGGGGTATTGTATTCCTTGCGTTCTCATTTTACACTTAGTATCTCATTAGTGTGGAGTATTAACAATTATCATTTTCACAGCAAAACCTGAAGCCTCAGTGATGCAGCCACTTCAGGGGCAACCTCAGGCATACCCAGCACAACCAGGGTATACTGCTCAACCAGGGTATCCCCCTCAACAAGGGTATCCTCCTCAGCCAGGATACCCACCACAGCCAGGCTATCCTCAACCACAGGCATACCCAGCACAACCCTATCCTCCAGCAGGTTACCCAAGTAAGAATGTAAATTATTTTCAGCTGATACCGATACTTTGCCTATATTTTTTATTTGTAAAATTATAATGACTTCAGTGTACAGTGGACCTTCAATTATCAGCAGTTCCGGATGTCGGCCATTTCATTTTTCTCCCACTTTTTTGGTCGAAATTCTATCCCATTTATCGGCCGTTATTTTGGAGATCAGTCGTATTGGACGCATAATAAATCACTCTTGAGCACATTAAACGTCTTATTTTAGATTAATATAGACATTTTCATTAATCCATCAAAATTGTATAAGAAACACGTTACATAGCATATAAACATGCAATGTTTGTATGCTGTTGAGTGGAGTCGGGTGGAGAGTAAACATTACGTTTCCTCTGATTCAGCGTTAGAGAAAACTGTGAATCTGGCGTCTTGCCCAGTAACTGCCCTTCAAATGCATTTGTTTACAATTCTCAGCATGAATTATTCATTACTTCTCCCTTTGTTTATGATACCAAAAGGTAGTTGTTAGAAATGATTAAACTCGGTGAACCTGGTAATAATATAGCTGTGTAGTGTAATAATAATATGGCTGTGTATTGTAGCCCCCCCCCCCTGGGCTACACTTCACAGAGGGGAGAGGGAGTTGGGGATTCCCAACTCCCTCTCCCCTCCTGCCTTCAATACACCAACAAGTCTTTCAATAAAGATATGTAATGTTCATTTATCATTAAAATTTGTGCCTTGCATTTCTCATTGTTTTCTGTACATAAAACTATAGTATTTTTTGTTAATATTTTGAGTGAAACTGATTAATTGGATTTACATTAATTCTTATGGGAAATATTATTTCGGTTTTCGGCCTTTTCCGATCTAGATCGACTTTCTGGAACGGATTATGGCCGATAACCAAGGGTCCACTGGATAAGAGAATGCTTAGTGTGCAATGGATATTAAATAACACAGGAAAGTTAAATATTAAATAACTTAATTTCTTTGGGATGATAGTGTCATTACTTGGCCTGTTGTATTAATTACTAATTTTCCAAGACATTTGTTAGTAGTGTGAGTGCACACACATGTGCATAGGTGCGCACACACGTGCATAGGTGCACACATGCATGCATAGGTGTGCACACGTGCATAGGTGCGCACACGCGTGCATAGGTGCGCACACGCGTGCATAGGTGCGCACACGCGTGCATAGGTGCACACAAGCATGCATAGGTGTGTGCACATGCGTGCATAGGTGTGCGCACACGCATGCATAGGTATGCACATGCGGGCTCCTCACAATTGTGAGGTAGCATGTTAATTTTGATATTTCAAAGAACATGTGTAATATTAATACTATTTTAAAAGTATTGGCTCTCATTTTAGTGATACCACAAAAATGCCAAATACAGTAGGGCCTCCATATCCTCGGGATACACTCCAGGGACCTGCCGCAGATACTAGCAAACTGTATACATATGTCATTTTACATACATACCTATTGTAGGGTTTAATTGATAAATTATGCACATTAAGTGGAGGATTATCATACTTTCACTACTGGGAAGCACTATACCCCCTCTCTTAGGCTCTGAAGAACTTCCATCATCACTACTTTTGCACTCTGAATCTAATATTAAGCAAAATTAAGGGTTATTTTCGGGCCACGGTAAACAGCGGACAACTGAAACTGCGTATGCCGGACCTGGGGATACAAGGCTCCTACTGTACTGATACTTTGGTACATCACAATACTAGATTGGTGTATCTAATACCTGGCTACCTTGAATTTACCTGGAGGATGTTCTGGAGGTCACTGCCTCTGCAGCTCAGTCCTTGACCAGGCCTCCCGATGGATCAAGGCCTAATTAACCAGGCTGTTACTGCTGGCTGCACACACTCCAATGTATGAACCACAGCCCGGCTGGTTGGGTACTGACTTTAGGTATCTGTCCAGCTCTCTTGAAGGTAGCCAGGGGTCTGTTAGTAATTCCCTTTGACTGGCGAGAGGCTGTTGAACAATCTTGGGCCCCAGACACTTATTGTGTTTTCTTAGTGTACCAGTGGCACCCCTACTTTTCATTGGGGGTATGTTGCACTGTCTGCCCAGTCTTTTGCTTTCACAGGGAGTGATTTGTGTGTGTGCAGATTAGGGACTAGTCCCTCTAGGATTTTCCAGGTGTAGATTTTGATGTATCTTTCACTGTGCTCCGGTGAGTACCGATCAATAATGGCCACTGTGTGTGTGTGTGTGATTTATTTTTATTTATTTATGGGTTTCCATTAATATTACTTTTCTTGTTACAGCTGACCAGCCACCTGCCTACTCTGAGAAACAGCTGGCATACAACCCCAACTACCAGTAGTGATGATCATCCTAGCCGTAATGCGCATATTCTGAACTCCTCATTTCCAGGCATTCAGATAGTCTAGTTCTTGTAAATTTAGAAAAATGGGAATGTGTGTTTTTATGCATGTCTTGACGTGTGGTTATCCCACAAATGTAGCTACTGGTACATATCACTTTGAAAGAAATAATCATTTTAAAGAATTTTTATTGGTTTGACAAGAATATTTAATATTGTCATTTAAAAAACATATTCATTCAGATTTTAACCCTTCAAATGCTCAGATTGTCAGTGATCCACCCTAAACTGATCCCTTTTGTCATTCAGCAATGGATATTTTTTTTCTTGCAGTTTTAAATAATTGGGTTGTGTAACTATGCATATCATACACAACTTTCCTGCCAAGCATTCTACGGGTGCAGTAGATCTTTCAACTAATAAGAGATGTTATCTAAGTAGAATTAACAAAATCGTCAGATGGCTTCAGTGGTTGTGTTAATTTCAGTTGGTGTGCACCTTATTAGAATTATTTTTGCAAATATTTACATTTCCTTTGTTGCCATGCAACAAGAGGAAATGTCATCTAGCATACAAACATGACAGAAAAAAAAAGTAAAGTGCTTTTATGATGTACCATTCTGCTCTTTATTGCCACCAGGTTTCCACTGCTTCCAGGCAAAACTGCATATATATATATATCCTGGTTGGCAAGTGGACTTGAGGTAGGAAGGACATTTGTTATACTTAGACATTTTGAAGGGATTTTGATTATGTATTGCATAAGTAAAATGTCTGAGAATTTTTTTAGTAATTAGAGAGTTATTGTCAAGTCATTATGATTCCAGAATTGTTTGGAAAAAGTTTAATGCCATACTTGTACTTTCATACATTTAATTTAGATTTTATAATTTAATTTAGAAAGAAGAAATAAAGGAGTGGTGTCAGTGCAAGTGTTTTTGTAAATGCACTGTATATGAAAGTATAATATGTAAATGAGTTTAAATTCTCTTATCTAAAAATCTAAGTTTCTATTTCCCCACTTCTGTATTTTTACTTCAAGGTGGATAGAAGAAATGTTAGTTTTATGACATACATTTGCAAGTAATTTCCAGATTTGCAGCATTATTTATTTGTCATCTTGCAGAATGGACATGTTTAGGATTGGCTTGCTGTAGGTTGGGGTCCTCTTCTTTCTGCGAATTGTTTACAGTAGTGTTATGATTTTGCAAGCCTTTTGCAGTGTATGGTGAATAATAAATTAATGCAAAAGACTTTTGGGTACAGTTCATTGCTATATTTAAGTGAATGTTTTACATAGTGCTGTTGTTTTCTCTCCTATAATAACTGCACTTTTCCAAAATATTTTGTAAATAACCATTCATGTTTGTTTCTTTGGATGCTTTTAGATCTGCTTTTGCTTAATCCCCTTAATTGAGCACAGTAATTGTATTTTTGTGGAATAAACTCTTTAAACTGAGTTTATTTTGTACACTTGAGTGATAGTAAGGTATTCATCCCCTTTTTTGTTAGATTTACTTTTCACTGGGCTTATTTAATCAGAAAAGGCTCGCTGTTTGTGTGCAAGTATTGACATGTTCTGGTTTGAATTAAAGCATTTAATGCCAATCTTTTTCTTTAAGAGAGAGGAATTTGTTAATAAATAACTTTATGCAGTAAGATGGCCAGTCAAAGACCCAAGTTTTTATACTTGTTTAGATGTGCAGTGATATACAGTTGACTGTCAATTAAGATAGTAGTTTCATTCTTGAAAATGGCATCTGATAAAAAGTCTAAAAAAAAGAATTGGAGAACATCTGGGAAATAATAAGGTTATATTCATTGGACCTTCCCAAAACTGGCATTTTTCTTTTTTCCAACTTGTAAAAAAAGAAAAAGATAATGTAATTATAGTTTGTTCTCATGCAGTATTATATTTAATACATTGCTTAAGGCTACAGATATTACATAAATAATATTTCTTGCCTTAAATTGTGGTTGCTGGTTTATGTCGATTTTGAAAGAAGTGCAGAGGGATTCCGTGGCTCTACTGGGCTGAGGTGTATGGTTGAGGCTCAGGTACTGTTGTCAATGGAATAATTAGAAATTCTGTAAGGTATCTTTGGTTTTACCCTTTAGTACTTTATACAGTTGATAGTAAGGTATCATGAGCTGCTCTTCAACTTTACCAGTACAGTGGACCCCCGCATAGCGAGCGCCTTGCATAGCGAACAATCCGCATAGCGGACGCTTTGTTCGCTAAAATTTTGCCCCGCATAGTGGACAAAAACCCGCTCAGCGGCCTTCGTCCGAGACGCGTCCAATGTGCGGCCTGAGCCACGCTCACATGTGCCGCCGGTGGCATTGTTTACCAGCCAGCCTCCGCGGTAACATCCAAGCATACAATCGGAACATTTCGTATTATTACAGTGTTTTTGGTGATTTTTTTCTGGAAAATAAGTGACCATGGGCCCCAAGATAGCTTCTAGTGCCAACCCTACAGCAATAAGGGTGAGAATTACTTTGGAGATGAAGAAAAAGATCATTGATAAGTATGAAAGTGGAGTGCTTGTCTCCGAGCTGGCCAGGTTGTATAATAAACCCCAATCAACCATCGCTACTATTGGTGGTACAGCTGCTGCTGCTGCTGTACCACCGTCAGCTGCTGCTGCTGCTGTAGTACCGTCTGCTGCTGCTGTAGCATCGTCTGCTGCTGCTGCTGCTGCTGCTGTAGCATCGTCTGCTGCTGCTGCTGCTGCTGTAGCATCGTCTGCTGGTGCTGTAACATCGTCAGTTGCTGCTGTAGCATCGTCTGCTGCTGCTGCTGCTGCTGCTGTAGCATCGTCTGCTGCTGCTGCTGCTGCTGCTGCTGCTGTAGCATCGTCTGCTGCTGCTGCTGCTGCTGTACCACCGTTGTTGGTGTGGCTTATTGAGAATACCAAGAAACAATTAACCCCAGAGGATTTGCCACCCAGGATAACCCAAAAAAGTCAGTGTCATCGAAGACTGTCTAACTTATTTCCATTGGGGTCCTTAATCTTGTCTCCCAGGATGCAACCCACATCAGTCGACTAACACCCAGGTGAACAGGGAAAATGCCTGGAACTAGTGCTCATATTGGTGAATTTAGAGCCAGCAAAGGTTGGTTTGAGAGATTTAAGAATCGTAGTGACATACACAGTGTGATAAGGCCTGTTCTGGAAGAAAATACCAAACAGGACCTACAGTACTCAGGAGGAAAAGGCATTCCCAGGACAGTGTCTCATCAGTCATTGCTGCATCTTCAATAAAGGTAAGTGTCATTTATTCTTCATTTAGTAGAGTAGTACATGCACAATATATATTGTGCATGTACTACTCTACTTTTGTGCATGTATCCTTCTCTTTGTGTGTAGGAAAATGTCTATTTCATGTGGTAAAATTTTTTTTTTCATACTTTTGGGTGTCTTGCACGGATTAATTTTATTTCCATTATTTCTTATGGGGAAAATTAATTCGCATAGCGAACATTTCGCATAACGGCCAGCCCTCTTGCACGGATTAAGTTCGCTATGCGGGGGTCCACTGTAATATGGAACTGCTCATGTAACTGTTTTTCTTCAGGGTCTTCATCTTCCTCTTTTATCTGCCTCCCTTGTATCTGGGCATTGAGCATTGCAAACATTTCCTTCGAACTTTTGCCTTCATCATCTAAAAGTTGATTCACATAATTATCCTGCGTGTCTTCAGTGTCTTCACCTGGCAAATCTCCTTGCAAGGTGAACAATCTCCTCCACATAGCTCTCAACTGAGGAAAAAACCTGTGAAAGTATTCACCACAATTGGCCATAACTTTTCCCAGCCTGCATTTAATGTTGATTGGGGCACTTCATTCCATACACTTATGACATAGCTCATGGCATCTGCAGTGTTAAATTTATACCAAAAGTTAGGTGCGTCAAGCTCAGAGTCGGCTTCCATTGCTGTAACGTGGTTCTGGATCATTTTTCATGTGTGGTTACACTTGAATGTCCTAATAATTCCACAGTCTAGTGATTGTATTATTATTTTTACATGTTAATGTATTTCCAACAAAGTCTACTGGCTCATTCGAGGCAGGTCCAGTTCTCCTACCGGCTTAAGCCAACACCCTAACCTAGTCAGGTCAGGTCACATTCACTTATTGAAGGAGCACAGCATCTGACCTAGTAGCACAAGCTAGTCAGGTCCAACTCACACCCATCCACACCCACCCACACCCACTCATGTATTATCTGACCTATTTTTAAAAATATATGTCTTCGCTTCTATGACAGTACTCGGGAGTTGTTCCACTCGTCCATGACTGTTACCAAACCAGTGCTTTCCTATATCCTTCCTGTATCTGAATTTTTCCAACTTAAAGCCATTGCTGCGAGTCCTGTCTAGGCTAGATATTTTTAGCACACTATTTACAGCCCCTGTATTTATTCCTTTTTTCCATTTATACACCTCAGTCATCTCCCCCATAATTCTACGCCTTTCTAGAGAGTACAGATTCAGGGCCCTCAGTGTATCCTCATAGGGAATATTTCTGATACATGGGATCAACTTTGTCATCCTCCTTTGTACATTTTCCAGCGTATTTATATCCATTCTCTAATACAGTGATCAGAACTTTGCAGCATAATCTAAATGAGGCCTAACCAAAGATGTACAGAGTTGAAGAACAGCCTGAGGACTTCTATTATTTATACGTCTTGTTATGAAGCCAAGGGTTCTGTTAGTTTTATTGCAAACACTTATGCACTGTTGTCTTGGTTTCAGATTACTGCTAACCAGAACTCCTAAATCCTTTTTTGCAATCAGTAATATTAAGACCTACATATTTAGTTATATGTGGCATGGTTATTTTCCTGTCCAACATTTAGAACTTTGCATTTGTCTATATTAAACTGCATCTGCCACTTCTCCAACCACTGTATCAGTCTATTCAAATCATCCTGGAGTGCTCTAATGTCCTCGTTAGAATGAATTGGACAGCCTATTTTGGTGTCATCAGCAAATTTGCTTATGTTGCTATTTATTCCCTCACATGTGTCATTTATGTAAATTGTGAACAACAAGGGGCCCAACACTGACCCCTGTGGAACACCGCTTCTAATGTGCCCCCATTCTGATTTCTCCCCATTTATGCAAAAACACTGCTGCCTATTTATCAACCATGCCTCTACCCAGGAAAAAATTTCTCCTATTCCGTGTTCCTTAAGTTTTCTCAATAGCCTCTGATGTGCAACTCTGTCAAAAGCCTTACTGAAGTCCATATATACGATGTCATATTCAGTAACATGATCTACCTCCTCAAATACCTTAGTGAGAAAAGTTAGTAAATTCGAAAGACAGGAATGCCCCTTTGTAAAACAGTGTTGAGATTCATTAATTAATTTATGCCTTTCAAGATGGCTTTGAATTGCCTCGGCAATTATTGATTCCATAAATTTTCCTGCTGTGGAGGTAAGGCTTTTTTGTTTATGGGTTTATTGGGTCGTTGTTGGTAGCGAGGATGAATGAGAAGGGCTTCGGAGGCTTCTTACTTTATTTTCAATATCGTGGGTACACAGGCAGTGTGTTAACCCTTTCAGGGTCCAAGGCCAAAATCTGAAGTCACGCACCAGTGTCCAAGAATTTTCAAAAAAAAAATTTATTTTTTCTTATGAAATCGTAGAGAATCTTTTTGTGAAGGTAATAAAACAAAAAGTACGAAATTTGGTGGAAAATTGACGAAATTATGCTCTCGCGAATTTTGGTGTGTCAGCGATATTTACGAATCGGCGATTTTGACTCCCATTTTAGGCCAATTACATTATTCCAATCAACCAAATTCTTAGCTATTTCACTTGCATTACTTCTATTCTATCGATTGAGCGCAAGAAATCGCCAAGTCAACTGTTTTAACTACAAAATAAAGTGATCGGAAATTGTTAATTTGG